TAGCATATTTTATTTTTCAACATGCATTTTCTTTTTATGACTTTGCTGTAACCTGGAAAACCCCATAACTTTCAAACCAGAGACAACAGTTCTGGCCAGGATCACAAGAAAACCAATAGGTACTTGAAGAGCTGACATTTTGAATTTACTTCATCATGTAGTTAAATATTCTATCCCATCCATTTCTCTCTTCCTGTTTCCCTCTATCTCTCCTGATCTTTTGAACTACTTGGCGACTGACCAAAATCCTAACAATGTTTTTTAGTATAAAATACAATTTAATGTGGAGTAAAGATGGAATATTTAAAAAGAGTCAGAGGGGGCTGGGCGTGGTGGTGCACGCCTTTAATCCCAGCACTTGGGAGGCAGAGGCAGGCGGATCTCTGTGAGTTCAAGGCCAGCCTGGTCTACATAGTGCGTTCTAGGACAGCTGGGGCTATAGGGAGACCCTGTTCTCAAAAAGACCAAAAAAAAAAAAAAAAAAAAAGGCGTCAGAGGAGGATGATAAAAATTCTAGTTCTAATCAATTTTGTAGAATGCTTCTGTGGGTCAGTGTGGGCAATTATTAAACCTGGATAATAGTGACAGATGGTATTTAACTCTCTGGCTCTTTGTCAGCCATTTGCCTTAAGACTCTTTACTGAGTTCCTATTTCCTAGGTATTCAGTTTTAGAATAGAAGGCACATATCTCCTGATAATGACAGAGACTCAATCAACCTTTTCAATGTTGGAGAGACTGGATATTAAAGCCATTAAATGTGTGATCTGCTTCTTCATCTCTCTACAATATCACTGCTGCTCTACTGTACTAATACACAAAACATTCTAGAAAAAAATATGGCTTTTGTATGTGTGGGAACAGCTAGAGCAAAAACATGGTAGAGTAGAAAACTCAAAGGCTACAGAGTCAGGCAAACTTGGATTTAAATCTGGTTCTGTTATGTAACAGCTCTGTGTTCCTGAACAAGTTAGTTGCCCTACTTGTAGAAGATTCTGAATTTGCACCCTCTGGACAGTATCCCTTAGAATGTGGGTCTGATGAAGTGATACACAAGAAGGCCCTGGTTCTGGGCTGGTCATAGGACAGGTGCCTAACTCCCTTGGCTTGTTTTCTTCTCCCTTGGTTAAGGAGGATGCAAAGTCCTGCTGATGTAAAAATGATTATTCCTCAAAGATTTTAAATAAACAACCAGGATGTAGCTTTTGGGGAAGACCAATTTTTGACTTCAAGGTTTTCACTGAGAAATCTCCTCTACTCCCTCAAAACAGCCTTCTCTTTATACTGACCTACAGTACCCCATCCTTCAATAATACTTAAGCCAGCTCTGGTTCATTAACTCACCAGGCATGTGGTGTCTTTCTTCATCATTAGGGGTTAACACAGTTATCGCTCTTGGAGCAGACCTTATATACAGCAACCATTCCATACTTAGTTCTAGTATGGAGCTTTCAATATCTGACACATGTTGCTGGGGATATGTGAGGTGATTCCAGAGGATGAACATGGACTGTTCTTAATAATGTTCACACATTCTAATGTGTATTAGACAAATAAATAACTGGATTACCAAATATATGGTTTTATATATTTCTGTTTACGATGAGGCTCAATAAAAAAGTGAGTTGATTAATATAAGGAAATAGTAGTAAAACTGTCATAAGGATACAGCAAAAAGAATGAAGGTAATAAAGAGATGATAAAATGTGGGAATTACTGCCTCTGCAACAAGCAGGAACCCCAAATGGAAAGAGGTCAAGATCCCCTGATTTAGAATTAGTATAGTAATCAGAGTATGCTTTTAGGAACTTGGGCTTTTGAGTTCTCAACTGGATCAACACTGACTCAAGAGACAAGTTGGATCCTGAGATGCTAGGACATAGCTGGCCTATGTAAGAAGTATGTTGTGTTCAGATATTTGGGTGGTGTCATATATAACACCAACATGAACTGAGTAGAAAACTATGTTCATATTCAAGGTCATAACCAAACTAGCAGGAACCACCTATGGGACACTGCATCCTAGGAAGGATGTGTGTTTGTCCTAGATTTATTTTGCTTTAGCTTCAGGACCCAGATTCTGATATTGCTTCCTTCTTCAATTAATTATCTCTCAATATACTACCTGGATTCTAGGAGAAAAGGTACACTCCTATATGCCTATCTAAAGAGCCATGGGTCTCTACCCAGCATCTCCCCTCAAGTGATACAGAACATTGCCATTATTGGCTCAAAGGAGCCTTGAACTTCTTCCTTCTCAGTTCTGGTATTGAGATGGGCAGAGGCCTGTTCCTGTCGTGCTGGGACCGGAATACAGAATGACTTTCCCCATAGGAAAAGGTTTTGGCGAATCAGCAACATGATGTTGCATCTATGTTCCAGGTTATCCAAGAACACCCAAGCTAGTCTGGGACCCTGATTATCAATTACACTATCATTTTGATGGAAACTGTGTTTAACGTTTGAAAATGCAACTCGGAGTTGCATAGGTAGGTGCACTGCTTAGACTTATCAATATAGTAAATTCCTTACTAGTGAGCACTCAATCTCATATGTTAAGTATTACCAATCTTTTAACAGGTTCAAAAATAGGTTTTTTAAAAAATCATTAATCACAACTAATATTGAAATTTGTATTATCGTAAAAAAACTGAGTCCCTCTACTCCAAAACAGGAATTCCATCTTTACACTGAAGATATTTCTAGACACACAAATGTAATTCCAAAATTCTAGACTCAAAAATACAATTCAAATAGCATTTTTCTAATCAAATTCTTGCTGTATCAAGTTAGTCCTTGGATGGCCTAGAACAACTATCTGAACTCCTTGCTCTTTTGACGGGTCTTAATCCCTTCTCTGACCATCAGCCTTTAACCTAAAGTGTTCTGCTCTTGTTGGATAAAAGAGTTACCTTAGATACTTTCAAAAACAAGAATTCCTGGTCCAACGCAGTAATGAATTAGAAGTTCAAGGGAATGGCCTGGGAACTACACTTTAAAGATTGTCCACTTCCGGCAATATTATCATCCAACCTAATGTTTTTACGCTGGAGGGTGTATTAGGATCAAATGAAGGATTTATGGAAACACAGGGAGCTGGACTCCAGCTCAAGAGCACCTACTTGGTAGATCTGGGATGGGGCCTAAGAATTCCCATTTCTGAGAAGACCCTAAATGATGCTGAGGATGCCATGCAGGGATCACACTTTCAAACACTACTTATTTAGGGGCTGGGAAGATAGCTTTGCTGGTGAAGTGCTTGTTGCAAGCATGAGGATCTAAGATCAATCCCCAGCACCATGTGAAAAGCTGGGCATGGTGATATGCACCTGTAATCTTAGTGCTGGGGAGGGGGGATGAGGAGGATCCCTGGGGCTTGTAGGCCAGCCAGCCTAGCTGAATCAGAGAGAGAGTCCCATGTCCCTGTCAAAGATCCTGTCTCAAAAAAAGGAAAGAAAAAAAGGCTGACTTCTGGTCTCCACATGCCTGCACACACATACAAACATGTGCCCTGCCCTTCCAGAAAAACCTTCCCAACTACTTATTTAGCCTGGTTAGTAGTCACTAGAGCTTAGCTGACCGTTAGATTTTTCTTCCTCCTCTTATTAAAAAAAAGCAGCACAGGGTTAGAATTTACAGGACTTCTTTTCATTCATACCCTTGCTACTTAGCTGTCACTCCATCAGTTTCTCTTACAGTAAGAATTTAGAAAGGTAACACAATGGAAATGAAAAGCTTTGGCATGTGCTTGACACACAGTAGGCCAGCAGGAAGCATTCTTTGTACTCTCATGTCTGTGCCACAATTCCATCTTACAAGTTACAGATGAATCTGCTGAAGTCCAGGAGCAGTTCACAAAATTTACTGCACAAATTTTATTTGGTTAAAACAAACAAGCAAGCAAGAACAGCCAACTGTTTCTTTCTTTACAAGAAAAATTACACAGGGGTACATTTTGGACCTAACATGACTAATGGGAATATACTCAGTTTCCTAACTCACCTTTTCCGATGGAAATAAAAATAGAAAAGAGATTAGATTATAATTATCTCTCTGTTTAATTTTGATCAGGTTGAACTTGGTATGCAGGATTATTTTCTTGACAGACCTTTATTATACTGTTTGAGCCTTTTTTTTTTTTTTCATTACCTAAAAGTAAAATGAACTACAAACTTTCATATGCAGGCCTGGAGATGATGCAGCTCACCCACCTACCCTATGAATGCTGCTAAAAATATCTCCAGCATGCGGTGGTCTAGATTCTTCTTGGCTTCCCAAATAGTCTATCTATTAGATCCCCTCCTAAGCAAATCTCTTTTTTAAACATGTATTTTATATGTGTGTGTGTGTGTGTGTGTGTGTGTGTGTGTGCATCACACCATGCATGTGGAAAGCAGAGGACAATTGTGGGAGTTGGCTTTCCCTTTCCACCAAGCAGATACCAGGGATTGAACTCAGGTCCTTAGGCTTGGCAACAAGTGCCTTTTCCTGCTGAGTCATCTCAATGGTCTTCGAATCTCTTTATTCCTTTGATTCTACACCCTTGGTTCCATTTCTGCCTGCTGTAGTGCCTAAGTGTGTTTGAGCACTCCTCCACCCATCAGAACCATGGCAGTACTCTGAAACAGCACTGATGTCTTCATTGCCTACACCTTTACAACTGAATTTTTCCTCCAATTTTCAGAATTTGTGTTAAAAAATCCCCATGTACACTAGAGCTCTGGTCTTCCTCCTGTGGATAAAGTCTACCATGAGGGTCTTTCTTTACTAAAAAGTACTATAAGATGCTTTATGTTGGTCATGTTACTAGGAAGAAAATGGGTGGCTCTTTTCCAAACAAGAGTTCTACAAACCAGAAGCTATAGTCATCATTAAGTACTGAGCACACAGTTCTAGGACAAGACCAGGTGCAGGTGGGGCTGATCACAACCCTAATAAAGACAGAAATGTCATACTGCCACTTAAACGACTGACAATTCAAAGAGGAAATGGAATTCTTACTTTCTGCGAAACATTTCTGCAAATATGCAGCCAACACTCCAGAGGTCCACAGGGGTGGCGTAGCTGGACTGGAGCAAGACTTCTGGAGCTCGGTACCACAGTGTGACGACCTGCAAGGCAAAGGGACCTGAGCATTACTGGGGAAGCTGGCTGTTGGATTACACTCCCAGCTTGGGCAGTTCAAGGACAATGTCTAGTTCAGAAAGAACTACCATACATCATGGTAACACCACGATAAATGCAACAAGTACATGGCACTCAGCATTCACAGGCCAGGAAGTTGCATCATCCCACACCCGGGTTCCCACCTCAGACTGTCTTAACAGGATAACAAAATAACACAAGCCTCAGAAAGCAAAGGCAAGAATAAAACAAAACAAAAACTCTTGTCCTAAAACTTTTTTTTTTTAAAGCTATTTCAGAACAACATACAGAAAACAAATGATGGCAACAACTCCAGCTCAACTCCCAGCTCACGTTAGGCAAGTAGGAGATTCCAGTGGCTGCTAGAGAATGACCCTGAAAGTGTACAGAGTACCCCAGTACAAGTCAAAACTGCTCTTATCATGACACCATGGGGAATCAAAATACCTCCCATCTCTTTTCTGCTGCTCTTTTCAGAAAATGAAAACAGGGAAAATCTTAAGAGAGAATGTGTGACTCAAGTATTTATACCATATGTGAAGTCATGCAGAGGACGAGAGCCTCGAAAACAGAAGAAACAATTTAATACAGAGCAATACAAAACAGATTAAATAAGCCTAAGAATAATTATTTCTTCCAGGTTGAAGGCTGAGGAAAACATCATGTCGAGGCTTCAGACTCATGTGTATGTGGGGAATCAAGAGCTTTCTTTCTCTGGGGGCACAAGCAGATGGTCTATGGATATCTGAAATGAGGGTGTATTCTTTTATTTATTTATTTATTTATTTATTTATTTATTTA